GACAAACACAGATACAGACAGATAGACAGACACATAGGCATAGATGGCAGGGAGAGAGAGGCAGGCAGGCAGACAGACAGACAGACAAACATGCACACATAGATGGCAGGGAGAGACAAACAGACAGACACACAGGTGTAGATGGCAGTGAGAGACAGACAGACAGACAAACATACACACATAGATGGCAGGGAGAGAGAGGCAGGCAGGCAGACAGACAGACAGACAAACATACACACATAGATGGCAGGGAGAGAGAGGCAGACAGACAGACAGACAGACAGACAGACAGACAGACAGATAGATAGATAGATAGATAGATAGATAGATAGATAGATAGATAGATAGGCAGAGGCAGAGATGGACAGACACAGACAGACAGATGCATACATCCAAACATACATGCGTAGATGGCAGGGAGAGATAGGCACAGACAGACAGACAGATACATAGATAAATGGCAGGCAGAGATACACAAACACACAGATAAATACAGACAGACACACATACATGCGTAGATGGCAGGGATGGAGACAGGCAAACAGACAGACAGACAGAGAAAGGTAGATGGATGGATGGATGGATGGATGGCAGGCAGAGGCAGAGATGGACAGACAGATACGTACACACACACACACACACACGCGATTGTGCGCGCGTCCCCGCAGGTGTACGATCTGCTGCCCGTGAAGGATCTCACCGGCTTCCCCAGCGGGCTGGCCCCGCACGGGGAAGACACGGGCGAGTGCGTGGACCGCCAGAACGTGTACATCCACGGCATCCTCTACTCCCCGGTCTCCAACTCAGACGAAAAGGACATGTACATGTTCCTGAAGGTAGGCTCCCCCCCCCCCCCCCCCCCCCCCCCCCCCCCCCCCCCCCAGAACACACCGAGGCTCACGTCCCCAATCCTAGCTCCTCGGAGGCTGGAGTCCGAGGATCGAGCTTGGAGGCCAGGAAAAATTTATATATATACTTATGTGTAATTGTTATACTCATATTATCTATTATGCAAGTTATACATATATGTCGTATGAGAGTATGTAACATGGGCTGGGAAGGTGGCTCAGTGGTAGAGCACTTGCCTTGCATGCCTGGGGCCCTGGGTTCGATTCCTCAGCACCACATAAGCAAAAAGAAAAAAGCTGGAAGTGGCGCTGTGGCTCAAGTGGTAGAGCGCTAGCCTTGAGCTGAAGAGCTGAGGGACAGCGCCCAGGCCCAGAGTTCAGTCCCCACAACCAGACCCCAAAAAAAAAAAAAAAAGAGTATGTAACATATAGCATGTATATAGGTAAATGTTGGCAGGTATTTACATATCTCTAGATATGTATATGTTTAGAGATCTATACTTATATTCATGAGTAACTTTTACAGTTGTATTATATAGTATGCAACTTATTATATAAATATATGTTGTGTGACGTAATATGTTATATAATATATAATATGTATATTTATAGATAAATGTATATGTATATAGGCAGATATTTATCACTCTTTATAGACTTGTATATGTTTATAGATATACACTTATATGTATGTATAGATAGATTATGTGTATTTATAGATAGATTTGTATCTACATAAGTAGAAATAGATACATATATCTAGATAGATACACAGGTAGACAGATATTAACTTGGATATAAATATATGTTTATATATTTATATGTATACATAGAGATGGGTAGACACATAGATAGATGTATTTCTATATCTATATATATTTCACAGGTGGAAAGGTTATTTACTTAGTGGCTTCTTAGGAAGATTGGAGTTGATGGATTTCACGCGGGCAGTAACTGTACGAGAGCTACCCAAGAAATCAGGGCTGGGAAACGTTCAGCCTCTTGGGTGATCTATATACTGATCCTGCTTACAGAAAATAATACAGAAAGAGTGTCATCCCAGCCACTCAGGAGGCTGAGATCTGAGGATCATGGTTCAAAGCCAGCCCGGGCAGGAAAGTCTGCGAGACTCTGATCTCCACTGAGCCACCAAAAAGCCATCCACGGGGGCTGTGGCTTACGTGGTAGAGAGAAGAAAAACAAAGCACCCAGGCCTTGAGTTCAAGGTGCACACACACACACACACACACACACACACACACACGTCTCATATTAAGCAAAGCAGACTGCACAGTGCATTCATGAGCTGTTCAATTTCCTCTGTAGGACATGGGCTTAAAGGTGTTCACCAACTCCAAGATTCATAAACCCAAAGTGTGCGCCCAGCCTCCACAGTACGAAGTGCAATATTCAAGATATGCAGGTAAAAAAATTAATTATTGCCTAAAACACTCCGATCAAATAATTTTAAAGATAAAATGTGATGTAAAAACATTAGGCAGGTGCGGTGGCTCCCGCCTGCCATCCCAGCTGCTCACGAGGAGGCTGAGATCTGAGGATCAGGGGTTCAAAGCCAGCCCCGGGTAGGAAAGTCTGTGAGACTCTGATCTCCAATGAGCCAGCCAAAACGAAGACCAAAGAAAAGCCAGAGGTGTGGCTCACGTGGCAGAGTGCCAGCTTTGAGTGAAAAAACAGGAGTGGAAGGCCAGAGTTCCCGTCTCACACACACACACACACACACACACACACACTTGCACAGCGCGTGCGTCATACCATGCGTGCCACACTCTCCGCGGGCTTTCCTTGGCTCCATTGACAAACACAGCGCTGGACACCGCAGACCCCGCCCCGCACCCGGCCACCACACCAACCCACGCCATTCCACCCGCCACGCGATTCCACCCGCCACGCGCGCCCAGTCCAACTCCAAGCCAACGCCCCTCCCCCTCCCTCCC